GCCGTCAAACAAACGTTAGAAAATGACGTCCCGTAGATGTGACATATCGACGTCATTTTCGGGTCTCATGAGACCTAACTTAGGATGTCTAATTGGTAATTTTGTGACCAAAATTTACTGTCATTGTAACATCAGTTTGCTACTTGGGATAGATATATACCAATAAAATATACTGGGTAATATTCTATAGATATACTAAAGATATACTAAAGATATACTGAAAGATATTCACAGAATATTCTATGAACTATAATAAGTGAGACATAGGAACATTCTCAGTATGTACTCAGTATGTCATAGTACGTATATCGAATATTTTGAGAATGTACGCAATATACTTTTGCGATATCCTCCGAACATTCTCAGAATCTACATGTGCTGTTAGGGTACATGCTCCCAAGTCTCCCTTTCCCTCCCACATATTCTACATTTCTTTTCCTCCTTTTCCCTCCAATACCAATTGTCCCTCATTCCGTTTCCCATCCTAAACCTTGCTACCCTCTGCCACCTACTTTCTCCTCATCCCTTTTTCAGATATCCCGGTATTCCCTCCCCCTTAATCCACCGTACCACTTGTTAAACTTAGACTCCCTTATTCTCTCTCATCTTTCTTTTTTCTTCATTTCCCTATCCCTTCTCAATACTTCCTCGAAATCCATTCCTCCCCCTCCATTCTCTTCACCGCTTCCTCCACTCCCATCCCTCTCTCTTCAAAGAAACTCTTCCTTTCCCACTCCCGTTTAGACAGACTGCTCCTCTTCCCGTAATGAAATGATAAAATTATATCGGAGCACTTTGATAGTATCCACAAACATTTTGCGGATCTGGAATTACTCGCAACTTTTGGTTCTGGAAATGTGTGAATGTTTATTTATATTTTATTTATAAATGTAATTAATGTGTAATTAATATTTTTAGATCATTTACAAATGGCTAAGCAATGAGTTGCATGTTTACGTTAATATAACAAAACTAATCTTGTGGGAATTGTATCAAAAATATTATATATAATTGAATTGAAAATATCAGAGTTACAGCATGAAATAGAAAGCATTAATCAAAGAAAAGAAATATGGTAATAATTTTGTTTATAAATTATATAATAAAGATTATTTATTTTCTTGGATAATGGTTAAACTTATTTTTTTAAAGCAATGAGAAACATAAACATGGAAGTTGATGGTTTATTCGGATGGAAAGATCTGCCTTTTCCAATATAATGTTATCGAAGAGTATTAGAATATCTGTTATCGACAATTATAATTTGTTTGAATCAAAATGAGGAGGAAGAGTCAGTTAATGATGCTGAATTGCAGATTTTATTAGAGGGTCCTATAAAAGTTTATAATAATTTGGCAGCTGCGTTGATTAAAACAGAAGCCTACGATACAGCTTTAGAAAATGTGAAACATGTTTCAAGGTGTCAACCACGAAATGTTAAAGGTATTTAGGAAAGGTATTGCAAAAATGCTAATCTTTTTTTTATTTACTATATTTAATCTTCTTTTTAATAAATTGTATATATTCTTGATTTATATTTTACATATGGAAAATTCAAATATGTATGTATATACAGGGTGGCCCCAAACGTTCCAGCCAGACTTTGAGATCTTATAGGAAATTTAATTCTGAACAAAAAATTTCCTATAAACATGGATCGAAAAATGTTTCCTTAAGAAGTTATCGCTGAAAAACTTCTGATGCAAAAGAAGAGCAAAAGGTGAAAAGAAAATGAAATAAAAAGAAAACGAAATTTAATAAATTTCTTGAAAAAACGATAAAAATAAAAAAGAAAAATCTTTTTCTTTTATGAAAATAAAATAAATTTTTTTAAACTAAAATAGCACGTAATAGTAGAAAATGAATAAAGACGTGAAAAAACTAACTGTTCTCAAAGTCCTCCATTAGCTCCAATACATTTTCGGCATCGAGTAATGACCGATCTAGTCGCTTTACGGATTTCCTCCTGATTCAACTTTAATTGATCAAAAGTCGTATTTATTTGTTGGATCAGATGTTCACGAGACTCGATTGGCGTTGAGTAAACTTCATTTTTCACTCTTCCCCACAAGTAAAAATCTAAAGGGGTTAGATCTGGAATTTTCTACAACTTTTGTTTCGGTACTTTTTGTTAAAAGACGCACGCATATCGTAGGAACAATACAAGTATATATATTGTGTATATATATTGTGTCTGTATATATATTGTGCGCATCGTAAGAACAATATTGAGACACAAAGGGGAATATGCAAAAGCTTATGCAATCTCTCTCTTTCTCTCCCCACTGATTCAAAAATTAAATCCAGAAATGAAGATATATTTACTACAAAATTAATGATTTTAAAGGATAAAATTGCTAAAGACACAGAAAAAGAAAAGCACCTATATTGTAAAATGTTAGGTGTGGTTGAAGTTATTAAAAATCCGTCAAAGGATATAAAAGTAGACGATAAAAGTAAGTAATTAAGTATAGGATACAGAAGAAGTTTTTGTTTGTCACTTTAATTTTAATCCTTTTTGTTCCGGGCCTATCTGGTAGAGCTTATGATTAATTTCAAAACAAGTTGATCAGTTTGATGCGGAGCACTTTTAAACTCGAAATTGGTGATTGACGTGATCGACGTTATTGCAGTATGAAAATTATTTTTCAAGGGAAAATTTTTTTAGAAGTTATTTTTTGGGCTAAATATTAAACTTTTTGTTGCGTACAAGTTGGGATCTTTTTATATACTTGGCGTATTTTTTTTACCTTTGTGATGTTTTTTTTTTAGAAGTAATATTTGTTTAAAAAACATATTAAAAGACATGCAATTGCAGAAGTACAATGCTGTACTGGTATAAAGATAAACTTATCAAGAAAATAATGAGTCAATAAGAAAAATTGCAAAATTTTTCTTATTAACTTATCTTCTAGATAACTAAATTCTTTTGAATAATTAAATAAAATAATTCTTCTTGATAACTAAATATTAAATTCTCTTTTTTCTCCACTTTTGATAAAAAATTCTTTGTTTATTATAAATATTAACAAAATTAATTATAAAAGCTACTGCACATATATACAGGGTGTCCGACAAGTAAGCGACCAAACGAAAGGTGGAGGTAGGTTGGGTCAAACTGAGTCGAAATTCCTGAACCATTTTGTTTTATAACGCTTAATAAAGAAGTTATTATCGAGTAAAGTCTGGCCAATCAGCGCCGACCTTAATCCGGGCGCACGTCGGTGAACCGCGCTCCTGATAGTTGCGGCCTCGCACACGTCACGGCGCGCGGCTCACTGACGTGCGCCGTGCGTCCAGCTAAAAGTTGGCGCTGATTAGCCAGACTTTATTCAATAATAATTCCTTTATTAAGCGTTATAAAAAAAAATGGTTCAGGACTTTTCGACCCAGTTTGACTCAATCTACCTCCACCTTTCGTTTGGTCACTTACTTGTCGGACACTCTGTATATATTCAAAGATTTTAATTTGAAATATGTTTATATATATTTAATATTCAATTCATATATTAAAAATAAGTTTGTTATTTTAAAACTTAATTATATTTTATAAAAATTATCATCATGATGATTCCATAAAAATCGTGAGAGAATGAACAAAATGATATGACAAAAAAAATACACATTTAGAGATATTATACAGGATGTCTCTAAAGTCTGACTCAGCCCCCTAGATCTCAGAAACGGCTTTAGATATGGAAAAACGTTTCAGACAAACGTTGTAGGATATTAAGGGGGACAGATGATGAAAATATGAACTTGACCTTGATTGATCTTTTCAAGACCAGATCAATGTGATCGATGTCTTCTTAAATAAAACCTCCTATTTTCAATGCATATTCTTGTACATTTACCTTGTTTTTCATTTCCCGAAGTTGAGATGCCTTTCAATACTCAAATAACTGCTATATTTCTCAAACTTTTTTGTTAATAACCTTTTAATAAAAAACGAGCGACGGCTAAAAACTTTCGAATGTTGTTCAGGGTCATGACCTTGACAACATATGTCAAGGTGAAGGTCATCGGGACTGTCTCCCTCTATCGGCATATTTACCAAACTTTTTATTAAGGATATACATTATAATAATATATCTCTTTATTGTTACAATTAGTTATATATATATATACGTACCTATACGTTTCCAATTAAAAAATTAACTTAAATATTAAAATCAAAACTGATATTGTACAAGAAATGATTGAAAGAGTGCCATAATTATATTTTTAGAGTTTAGTTAACATTAAAGACTCTTTTTACGCCAAAGCGTGTTTATATGATAGGCATATATATAGGGTGTAACAGAGCGCCCGTATCAATAATTTTTTGAGGAAACAAAGCATTTTTGTGAAAAATGTTTCATGCAAAAGTTGTAGAGCTCTAAGTAGCGCATTATATAATAATATTAGTATGACCTTGAATAGCACCGTCAAGGTCACATAAAAATCACTTTGTATTTTTTAAATGGAACTTCCTATTTCTCATTACATATTCTTGTAGCTTACCTCGAGAGCTTTTTCACGAAAATGCGTTGTTTCCTCAAAAAACTGCTGATACGGGCGCTCTGTTATACCCTGTGTATACATGATCTACTTTTTATTTGAAACTAAGTAAGATAATATTTATCTCTTATATCTGGATCTAGTTTTACAAATTTGTTTGATTCATTGTTTATAATATTAGAAATTAAAAAAAAATGAAGGAAAAGAAACAAGTTTTGAAACAACTAAAAGTTTTAAAATTTATTTTTACGATTCATCCTTGCCTCTTATAATTGCCCAGTCCTCTTTGATCAAATCCGCACCTTTTTCGCCTATCATTATCGTAGGTGCATTTGTGTTTCCACTAGTAATTCTCGGCATGATGGATGCATCAATCACTCTTAATCCCTGTATGCCGTGGACCTTTAATCGTGGATTCACGACAGCTATGAGATTGTCTTGAGGACCCATCTTGGTCGTTCCAACAGGATGATTAATCGTAAACGATATATGTCGCATATTACACTTCCAATATTCTTCAGAATCAGGTTCAGTATTACGGCAACCCGCAATGTTTAGGTGATGCAATCTTACTCCATGCCGTTTAAATGATTGTGTTCATCATTTTTTTCACGACATCCAAAGACTTTAACATCGTTTCCACATCCTCTTGTACGGAATAATAATTGGCAAAGATTCTGACTGGATCCGCCGGATCTTTGCTACGTAGCCGCAATTCGCCTATACTCTTTGGTTTTAGCAGAACAGGTACAGGAGTGAGTATCGTTTCCTCTGTTGTAATTCTTGCTCTCTCTTGACTTATTTCTTCGTTTACGTAAAACTGCATTAGTGTAATGAACGTTTTATCCATTTGCCCTCGTTGAAAATGTTTATGATAAAACTGAATGTTTGGATACTTGGAACTTGGGTCATGTACGTTACCGAACCCCTGAAGATCATGAGCTGCGCTACTTGCCAAGGGACCTCGATTGTAAATTAAGTACTTGTAAGCTTTATCCAATAAATTTGCGGGTGAAGGTGTTGCGCTGTGGTTTTTAAAAGCCCAGAACACGCACATCCATTTAAGGTGATCCTAAAGATTTTTGCCGACAGGTAAATCAACGACATTAGGTATCCCCATTGCGTGTAAATGCTGCTTAGGTCCGATACCGGAGAGCATAAGGAGTTGGGGACTACCGATGCTGCTAGCCGACAGGATTACCTCCTTCGAGGCTTTCACGTCGATTGACCTTCCGTCTTTCAAAGTCACGCGTACTCCGACCGCTTGAGTACCATCGAGGAGAATGGCGTCGGCTCGAGTAGATTTCATTACATACAGATTGCTTCTATCTTTAATTGGCGACAGGAAAGCTTTCGAAGTACTCATTCTGCGACCTTTATCCAAGGTGCCCTGCGCTATGCCATATCCGATAAATTTTTTGCCGTTATTAATAACGTCCAAAATAGGCACGTCCAACTCGCGAGCGGCGTCTAGAATCATATTAAATACGTCCGGGTTGGTATAGTTAAAATATCTGACATTTAACGGTCCATCATGACTACAGTATTTGCTTCTCCACTCGTCACTATGTCCATAATCGCAAGATTGCGATTTCTTGAAATATGGCAGGACTTTATCGTAGCTCCATCCTTCGTTTCCCATTCGAGACCATTTATTGTAGTCCTCATCGTTGCCATAAATATAGAGCATAGCATTTAGAGTAGAGGAGCCGCCGAGAGCCTTACCTTTTGCCCATTTGCATAATTTGTTTTTGCTACCGTGGCAAGCAAATTTCTCGGGTTCAACATCGTATGAATAATCCACCGGTAAGTCTATTTGCAATGAAAAGGCCGCGGGAATCTCGCTTAAGGTGTCTTTACATGGCAGCGTCAAGCAGACGATCGATGCTCGATGCTGCCATGTAATGGCACCTTTAGTATTGAAGGATTCTCGCCAGCTTCAATCAACAATACTTTCCAGTCTCCTATTTCGGTCAAACGATTGGCCACCACAGATCCAGCACTTCCACTACCAACAATCACAAAGTCAAATTCTCTATTAGAAGCGGCAATCTCTTCTGAGCGGTCTGGGGGGTAAATATCACTGGCTAAGCTGCATATTTTGATATAAAAAATAAAATATCTCGTAACATATTTAGTTTTCGATAATCTTACCGTAATACTTTTATGTACAGAATAATGAGACAAATGGGGTCAAACCAATGGCACCATCTTATGTCCCCCTTCGAACCAAACAACTTTTGTCTGAAACGTTTTTCCGTATCTTCCATATTTTTCGAGATATTTGACTGGCTCTTTTAAAATGGACCACCCTGTATATATAAAGATATTTTATACAAGACAATAAAGAAAAAGAGAGAAGGAAGAGGGAAACAGGAAGAGAAAAAAAGAGATCAACAAAACTTTTTTGTAATTATAAATAATTAAATTTTTTTCAATATTGTACATACGTATACATATATTATTGTTGAACATTATATACTAAAAATAAAATTATCGAATGTCAATTCTACAATAAAACTTTATTATTGTGATTTACTTATTATTATTAAGAAATTTATTATTATTAGATATTCTACATGAATAAAAAATTATATTATATTATTAAATATTATATGCTAAAAACGCATATATATTTTTTGCAGAAAAAATATAGATTTTTACAAAAAGCAATGAGATCACCTAAAAAAACCTCACAAAGGTAAAAAAGAATACGCCAAGTATATAAAAAAATCCCATCTTGTACGCAAAAAAAGTTTATTAGTAATTTTATAAAAATAAAATGCATTTTAATTTTCTCGAGAGAATCTATAATATTTCTATAAATGCAAGACTGATTTTGTCAAAAAAATATTATTTTAAATTACAAACTCTTACAAACTGAACTGCTTCTATGAACTTGGCTAGTTAACTTGATTTCATATTTAGTTTTGATTTTTGATTTTTTAAAGGTTTTTATTTTTTAGAGGAAAATCATTTTTTAGTTTTTTATTTTGTATGAAAATTATTTTTCAAGGAAAAATTTTTGTAAAAGTTATTTTTTAGGGATAAATAATAAACTTTTTTTGCGTACAAGTTGGGATTTTTTTATATACTTGGCGTATTTTTTTTTACCTTTGTGAGGTTTTTTTAGTCACTCTTATCTTATGAAAACAAATTCGTATAACTAGATTACAGAATTGTGCATAATTCACAATTTGTAGTGCAAATGGGTTACAAAGTAATACAAAGTAATAGTAATTCGTAGTTGCAATTAATATTTCTAAAAAAGAATAAAATAGTGCACAGTCAAATATATGTCAAGAAATATTTATAGTTGCATAAAAAATTTTTTTGCGATAAATGCAACACACACACAAGTAAAGATTCAAAAAAATTAAAAATTGTTAAGCGCTATTAAAAGCTGTTCAAACATCAGACATTTAAGAACAGAGATAAAAGCTGCTCAAGTAATTTAAAATCAATATTAAGCGATTTCTTTACTTTATACAAAGCACATTTGTGTGTATGTCTATAATTATACGTTTTCATGCAACTCAAAAAGTACTTAATGAAAAAATACTTTATTATAATGTTTTGAAAAGCTCTCGAGATAAGCTACAAGAAGATGCAATAAAAATGGAGGGTTCCATTTAAGAAGACATCGATCACATTGACCTCACCTTGAAAAGGTCACTCTAGGTCAATTCCATATTTTCATCATGTGGCCTTCTCGAAACTATGACACTTTTGTGTGGAACATTTTTTTGAAAAACTTCTCTTTTCCGAGATATTCGATTGGATTGATTAAAATGGTCCACCCTGTATAGTTATTTAATAGATGTATTTTCCGATCTGTATTTCTTATTAGGTTTATCTTGCCTCTTGTGTAATTGTCCAAACTTCTTAAGATTAGGGATTTTTTACCTTTTCTTTTTTGTGTTTCTGTTAATGATTGTTGGCATTATGATTACATGACTCTCAAATTCTGTGTATTTTGTGATCTTTCTATCAAAAGTTCACGGCCGTTCTTGACCGTTTTATATGTGAAATAATTTATAATTCTATCAAAGAAAATATATATAGTTTTTAATATCTAAAATATAAAAATAAATTCTACCATGTTTTATTTATTATCAAATAAATTTTCGTTGAATTTAATTATTCGACATTAATAGGATTATATTTATTTCTTTTTCTTTAGAAGATTTTAAATGCAAATTTTTTTTTTTAATTATCACAGTACATAAATTTATATAAGTGAGAAGATATATAACGTTTAGGGGTCAGCAATTGCTTATTGTCAGATTAACATATTTTGAACTCTATACAATAGATCTTTTCCCTTCTACTAACAGATAAATTTATCATCATCCATCTCTTTCTTTGCTACAAAACTGTTTTTTAATATAATAGTTTATTTGATTTATTTTTAAAATATCTCTATATACAAGGTGTTCGATAAAGATTGTGCCAACGCTTGTGAGCGGATAGAGCACAGAAAAGTCCTGTAACTTTTTTTTCTATAACGCTTAATAAAGGAATTATTATTGAGTAAAGTCTGCCAATCAGCGCCGACCTTTAGCCGCGCGCCTGGTAGTGTGCGTGAGCGCTCTGTCGCTACGGCGCGGCGGCGCACACTACCAGGCGGTTCACCGTTGTGCGTCCGGCTAAAAGTCGGCGTTGATTGTGACCAGACTTTACTTAATAATAGCTCCTTTATTAAGCGTTATAGAAAAAACTGTTACAGGACTTTTCTGTTCAGTTTACTGTGCTCTATCCGCTCACGAGCGTTGGCACAATCTTTACCGGAAACCCTGTATACGTAGGATATTCTCTGATGGAACAATCGAAAATGGTATAAAATTATTATTTTTTTATAGAATTATTTTCTTTTCTTATATCTTATAGCATCAAAATATTACGGGACGCTCTATATATAAACATACCACAGTCTTTTTTGATTAACATTATAATAATTTTGATCATTAATTATTAATAATGATTATAATGATTCATTACATCAACACACAGTCTTGTATAATCAAATTATATCTATAACTGCATATTTTCTACGAATTATGTAATTTCTAATTTATCTTTAAATATTTCTCGTATTCTTTTAATTCCATTTCTTTAAAACAGATGCATCGACAATTTTGTCGATATTTTAAACTCTCTAAAAAAAACCTCACAAAGGTACAAAAAATACGCCAAGTATATAAAAAAACTCTAAGTTGTATGCAACAAAAAGTTTAATATTTAGCCCTAAAAAATAATTTAAAAAAAAATTTTTCCTTGAAAAATAATTTTCTCATAAAATATAAAAAACCTTGAAAAATAATTTTCCCATAAAAAATAAAAAACTGAAAAATAATTTCCCCATAAAAAATAAAAAATTAAAAAATAATTTTCCTCTAAAAAATAACTAAAAAAATAAAAAACCTCTAAAAAAATAAAAAACAGATATAAACTCAATAGTTAACTAGCTAAGTACTTATGTTAGAAGCAATTCACTTTGTGAAAATACCTCTAAAAAACAACTTATAAAAAATTTTTTCCCTAAAACATAAAAAAAACCCTAAAAAATAAAAAATAAAAATTAAATATGAAATCAATAGTTAACTAGCCAAGTATATAGAAGCAATTCAGTTTGTGAGGGTTTAAAATTTGAAATAGTATTTGTCATAAAATCAATCTTGCATTTATAGAAATATTATAGATTCTCTCGAGAAAATTAAAATGCATTTTATTTTTATTAAAAAATTAAACTATTATGTTCCAAATAAATATTTTGTATAATACATATATAAAATAGCATTATTATATTGCGGATTTTATTACAAATATTAAATCATAAAATTAATCCTTACTGTAATAACATCGATTACATTGATCACCAATTTCGAATTTCGATCACGAATTTTCGAAAAGTGCTCCGTGCCAAACTGATCGACTCGTTTTGAAGTTAATCATAAGCTTTACCAGATAGACTCGGAACGAAAAGGATTAAGATTAAAGTGACAAACAAATACTTGCTGTGCCCGATCTGAAATAAAAATTTGCAAAAGATTATCAGAAATCATTATTAATATATTAATAAAAATATATGACTTATAATGCGACTCGTTTTTGTTTGTCACTTTAATCTTAATCCTTTTCGTTCCGAGTCTATCTGGTAAAGCCATAGACATAGAAAATATAGAGATCGAGCATAAACTCGTGGTTTAGGCGAGGGGAGTGAAGCCACTGCGGGACGGTGCGACGAGGTCAACTGTGCCTAAACTTGATTGGCTGTTATATTGCGCAAGTTCACGTCAGTGATATTCGTGTCGTTGGCGGCGGTCAAACATATAATTATCACACATA